CAAGCAGCTTTTTGTTTGGTTCTTAAAAATAAGACACTACTTACAGAGGAATAACCCATACAGAGTATCTGGTATAATGTTCAGAACGAGTTTTATCATGGTGCTCATTGCAGCCATGGAAACTCACGGCATGAATAAAAAACCACACTAGTGTTCTGCAGACACAGTTCCCCTAGCGAGCTGGCTCATGAGGACAAAAATGGGTGCACTGACAGTGCAAAGTGTAAGTCCCATACAGCAACACAGCAGAAAAGATGTGTACTTGGTGTAGCTGAATTGTAAGCATGCAGCTAACCCTCCAGCAAATATTACTTTCTTCTACTTGTCTCTGTCCTGTAGAATTTACTAGAAATCACCATGCTAATATCCTAAGTTTAATGGTGATGCCAGTATAGACAAATACCGCAGATTATGTACATGTTGCTAGTGCTGCATCACAGAATAGCTGTTGTTTAAAGACTATAAGCATAAAACAGAGTATGTCACAAAACAGGCAGTAAAACTTTGTTTCTGCACTAAGGAAAAGAACCAGAATGCAGTGCATGGGAACACAGTCCACATACTCCATTTGCTCTGAGAACCAGAATTTACCAAATGAGAAAGCCAACAATGGTGCAGGATGGGAGGAAGAAAAGATAGCCTTTAAATTTCTCTAGTAAGTCCTTTTCCTACATTGACAGCACCAGTGTACACTTAAAACTATAGCTTCTGAATGTGCCTAAGTGGATTTGGAAAACTTCCATGGTTATCAGTAACAAGGACAGGAGAAATAATTAGGCTTGCCTGATTTCTACATAATCCTCTGTACAGCGTTTATTCCCTTCCAAGGTGAAGTTGTTGAAGCGCAGCAAAATTTGTCTATTTATTCCCACCGTGATGGTGTATATGCACTCTGTCCGCACAGGGTAGTTATTGGGATAGTTTGGAGATGTTAGCACACCAGTTTCAATACTGTAGTTGTGGGAGCACACTTTAAAAAGAAAAACAAGTATGAATTAATTTAATATACATGCTATATTAACAGGATATTTCTGTTTCCAACAGGCATTATAACTCTTCCTGGACACACCTTACTGATATGCTGAATATCATCACTATAAACTAAAATCAGAACTCAGTTTTTTCATGGGATTTCTTACATTTGAGTTGATTTCTTCAGCTTTTACTAGAACACTGTGTCTGTAATAAAGAGGCAACATAAGAGTAGTTCCAGCTGCCCAAGTTGGTTTTGACCTAAAATCCAGGTGAGCAGAGAAAGGAAGCTGAAAGGGATGTATTGATCAACACAAAAGGTAGGATTCCTGAATTTCTTAAAAGCAGTGGTGGTGGAAACTGAATGCAGTCTTTAGCTATGAGGAGATGCTATATTGTTCTCAGGCATTCCCCATCATCAAATCTGGGAGATGGCGATTTTATACCTAAATTTCTTTTCCCATTTTCTTGGCCATAAGTGATAATCAGTTGGAAAATAGTATAATCCTTTGATTGTGAGTACAAAGCAGTTCTACTTAAGGTCTTATACTAAAATCAGCTACATCAATTCTTCTGTGAGCACTGTAGAAGCATCTTGGTGTTATAAGCTGGAAAGAAGAAAATAGTGAGGACAAATGCTAAGCCAGAACCTGAGCAATAATTTAAAAGAAGCTCTTTCAAAAGCATAGACATAAGGACTAGGAATAAAAATATCATCTGCTGCACAATGGTACTTGAGACTTATTTTGGAAAGAACAATTGTCATATATTAGTTGATCACAGTCTGAGTAAGGGTTGTGATATGGCTGCAAAAAGGACAAGAAGAAATGTGATCCATATCGGGTGTTTTCAGTCAAAACAGGGAACCTTGATGCAACTGCACAAGGTAATGGTCATGTCACCCAGAAATATGTGGACAACCATGGTCATTGATATTCTGGAAATCAAATGAGAACAAGACAGAGGACATAGTGTCTTGTGGACATAGTGGGAAAACTAGTAGGCAAGAGACACTAGAACAGCTTAACTTGCCTAGCTTAGCAAATGCAGGAGAAAAAGACAGAGATGAACATTAAGAAGTATGAAAAAAAGAAAAATAGAACACACTCTCAATAATAGTACAAGCTCTGAAGCTGAAAACTGTCCAGGAATACAGATACACAGAAATTAGGAGAAAGTTTCTATCAGGAAGTGAGTTTCTAGAGCAATCATCCAACCAACATAACAGATGCAGAAAGGGGAAGAAAGTCTGCTTTTTTTTAAGATACTGTTTGATTCATTTAATTAAGAAGGGATCAGATGATCCTGGAGGCTCATTTTGGTTCTCCATTCCTCTGTTTCAGGTCCTACAGGTTGCAAATATAAGAAATGAAAATAGATTTCTTAAATAATTTCTATCAAATGGGCAATGTTAGACTAATTATAAAGTGCAACTGAAAGCAAGCAAAATATGACTGACTTTACGCTCATTTAATCTGGTTGCCACAGATCTCTGCAACCTGTTTTCTAACATAGCACAGCTGCAGTGTAGTAATACTTGGGCTTAACACTTCAGTACGTCTAATAATTCAGAGGGAATGGATGAAATTACAGTTCAGGTCCCCCATGTCTAAGGTCGGTCATTTCCACGTCTGTCCTCCGTCCATTCTAACTACTAAAATGCTTTGGCTTTAAATGGAGGCTTTTTTAATGGTGTTTTTTGGCATTCTTGGTCACCTGGAAGGCCTATGTTGGAAATGTTTTCTGTGGGATAAATATCCCCAAAGATAGCTACCAGACTCATGTTCCTCATTCATCACAAGGAGAACAAAGAAACACGACAGAAACAGGCCAGTAATTTCCTGCCATTGGGTTGTACTTTGGAATTGACAAGTCAAAAAGGTTTCATGCATTAGTTTACCTAAAATCATGATCTACTAAAGTCTTTATCTAGAATTTTAGTCATTTGTGTGTTTCATCACAGATATGCTCTAATGTACGCACATAACAATCAGGTTAGTCCTGGTCACCTTAAAAACCTTTATAAATCCTTATAATGCCCTTGCTGTTCTGCCAGCTCCCATGGTGTTCCATGATATGTAGGGTTTTTTATCAATCCCAGATCCTTCAGTCTTACAATTTCTTGAGAACCCTGCCTGCAGGGTTAGAAATCTGACTTAGAAACATGACTAAAGTTTTTCCTAATGGCTCATTTCATAAAAAGCAATTAAAATTCAACATTAAAAAGTGTCTATATTTATTAGCTTGCTTATTTTAAGTAATTATTTCCTCCTGATTTTGGAAGGATAAGTGCCTGACTCATGCACATTTACTAGTTAGAGGAATTGCAATGCTACCATTCCTTATTTGCTAGGAGGCTGAGACCATGAATACTAGCTTTCAGCCTGTAGAATATTAAAATTGATACACTAAATTAAGGCCCATAGGGTAAAATCAGCAACACAGAAGCCAAACATTTTTATCAGCCCTTTTAAGAACAAGTTCCACAGAATTGTCCCAGTTCCTTCCCTCACCAAAGTTTGCTTTCTTGGGAGTAATCCATATAGAAACTCATGTCCCACTGTGTGCTATTTCAAACTGGATGCTGTATACTGCTTTACACTTCACATAATAATCTGCTTTATGAGCTAATGGGGATAAATACAGAAGGTGGAGCAGTGACTGCCTTAGAAATTACAGACTTCTGGCTACACTGAAATAAATCCAAGTGCAGACTGATCATATGCTGCTCTGAGGATAAGGAAAAGCATAAATGAACCCACATTTTTTCACTTCCAACTTTCTTCTGGCAACTGGATTCATTCATTGTGTTCTACTTCCAGCAGGAGAACTGGCACTCCCCTTTCACACTCACCTCACTAACACAGCACTTGGGAGTGTGTTTGGGCAGTTACAGTTCCTTCAGAGAAAACTGTTAGCAAAGTTAGCATGAAAAAAATACTTTGACTCCTTGGCCAAAGTTCAGAATGCAGTCTAACACTATAATGGGACTTTTATATGCCTGGAAAAAATATGAAATCGGTTTAGTTTGAAGACACTTACCGCAACTCATGAAAAACAGAAGAAGGAGGCAACTGTCAAGGACAATCGCACATCTTGCTTTGCCAGTGTGTGAGGTTTTGAAAGCTATTCAATTTGCTTTCTGATTTTGGTACTGAATGTGTTTGCTCTTCTGAAAAAAATGCCATAAATGGCAGTAACCCACTCTAATAGCCAACAGCAGAGAAAAACGCCGGCTTTTGTACCACTCTCTCATGCAATCAGGCATACTGCAGAAAATTATATCCATGCTTTTTCCCATAAAGAGATATTCATCCATTGCCACAATTCTAATTAATCAAAATAAAACTATAGTGTCATGTATAAAATAGGAGTTTTCTTTCAATCTCACTCTGCCAAAGGAAAACTGGGATCCCTAACAATTAGATCTTTATTTAATACCATGCATGTTTGGGAAAAAAGGTAAGGAACTACCACATGAAGTACATGCCTCTCCACAGGCAATGGAAAAGCACATCTGCACTTCAGGGCCTTCTGTTACTGCTGCTGGCAGACGCTAACAGGCTTAATTTTTACCAAGAAGGCACACAAAGGTCCTTTGTAGCATTTGAGAGCCAAGCTCCTTAGAAACACTGGGTACAGCTGTTCAAAAAGAATCTCAAACTCTCTTCTGCTGATTTACACATAAACACATACACTATAGAGTTGTATACACATATATAGGCATATATAAGCAGACTAATACCCTGAGCAAACATAACCAAGTTACAGCGGCCTAACAAGTTGTCAGTTGCCAGTTGATTGAGTCTTTTTCCTGAGACTCAGGATGATCAGAGCAGATGCCCAAGGTGCATACAGGACTTCAGCTTTTTTTCCTGTCTTAGCTCAGCCTCGTTCAACCATGCCCTGTATCTCTGCACACACGTACTTGTCAGACAGCACTTTCCATTCTTGTCTTGGCTTGTTCAGCTGAAGAGAAAAGCCAGGCAACATCCTCCTAATAATTATTGGATTCAGTCAGCACGATGGGAACTGAGATCTCAACTTGTACTCAGCTATCAATAAAGACACACGAATCTATACATCACTTTCAGGTGCATTTTTAAGCCCATGGGTTCACAAATGTTTTTCTTTCTTTCCTTATCCTTCTAAAACTCTGACTTCTTCAGTCATTGTCAGCTAACATATATCACATAATGAAGCTATTTAAACCAAGTTACCCCTCTTGATAAATAACATAATTCACAATTCAGGATGATAAGGAGGAAAAATCTTATCTTTCACAAAAACCAGAGAAAGACCAGAAACAAAACTCTGTCAGGAAGGCATTCTGTTAAAAACCTTGTTAAGGCTGACTTTTCTCAGCAGAAAAGATGAAATGAAGCCCCTTTAACGAAACAAACAAAAAAAATGAAGAAAAAGAAAAAATCCACCACCACCACCCCAAACCCCAATTCAAACTCAAATGGATAAGTTCCCATTTACTTGTAAAGAAGTTGAGGACAATAAACTATATATACTGTGTCTAGCGCTATAATTATTGGAAAATCATGACCTGGACCTTTCAAGATCCTGAGTAACACTTCCAGGAAAGACTGAGCCCTTTCAAAGACTTTTCAATAATTTTGCATGGGTTCTTTGTGGTGTGGTCAACCAAGATGGGCAAAAGAAAACCCTAATATCTATCATAACACTTATATGCCTGTTGTGACATTCATCTATCTGGTATTCGAGACCTGGACTCTAGGAAATAAATCCAAATATTACCTTGCTTTCCATGTGACTTTTCCCTTTAAAACACATAAAGATGGCCAAGAACTAAGCACTGGAGGTATAGACAGTTCAAGTGGGCAATATACATTTAAACAACTGAGTATCATGTGGGCATGTTTGACTGAAAGATTTCCATTTGTATTGCTGCCATATGAGCTCTTCACAGCTACTAGCTGGCAGACTGCTAAAACAACTGTTTGCACTTTATGGACCATGGTCACGGCTGTATCTTGTGGCATTCAAATTTTTTGACAGGAAACATATCTTTGCCATTATTTTCAGGCTACTTTTCAACTAATTAATACATCACAGATAAACTATACTAACAAAAACATTGTTTGCTAAGATGCATGGAGAAGACAATTAATTTTATTTTACATTATTTTTTTTTCACTCCTACTTACCCTTTATTTTTTACTCCTATTTATTCTTTTTTCTTAGGGATAATCTTGTCCATCTTTCCAATAGCTCATTCTCTGTAAAATAACTCCAGGCAAAAGCCTATTGAAATGTCTAATAAGAACCAGAACAGCTTTGAACAGTTCTGATATTGGTTACACTCTAGCTGGCTAAGAAAACATAGCTCAAAAATATGAAGGATTCTTATTGCACAAGAAATGTTATTAGAACCATATTTTCCTGAGCAGAAAAAATGAAAATACGCAGCAGATGTAAAGAAAAAAAATCCATAGCTTTGGTAAATGTCTCAAATATGATTATGTCCAGCAATTTGCTACCTTAGTGTAACTCGATAGACATAAGATGAATATCAGGCCTAAACACCTCACAGTGGGAAAACTAAACTTGATGTGATTTCAGGGGAGTGGGGAGTTGCTTCTCACAGTGAAGTCCACATACACACATGCGTTTGCCTTCTCTGAGACCATAGAAGCTTCAAAACACTTTATTCTTAATAAAAAATGAATGTTAGCGTCCAGTATTTACGACAACTTTATAGTACTGCTATGCTTGTGCTGGGACCAAAAGAAACAAATCTCTGTAAAGAACACAGATCGCAGTTTCAACTTCTCTATAGAGCTATTACTCTCAGTTTCAGTAGTTATCTGCTACTTTGCCACAGTTACACAAACTATAGTGGTTGAAGTGAAAAAGCATTTATTCAAGAGATCATAGTTCTAGACCTGAGTGAGAATAAATTGAGAGTTAGCCCAGTTTAGCTGTAAAGTAGTAAAGATACCGGTATTAATTATGGGAAAAGAAAATCTTACCTGTTGTTTAGAGTTTGGATGAAGGTATTAGACAGTTCTAATTTCATATAAACAATTTATACCGTTTCTAGTTGTTAACAGCATTGAAGAGAAAATAGACTTGAATCTTTAAGGCATAGTTTGAAACCATCCCAGAGACAGTGTTGATGCATTTGAACCTCACATGATGCATATAGTAGTGCTTTGGATGAAAGCTGAGAAAATCCAGTCACCATGGTGGTGGCAAGGAGGCGAATATGGAAAAGAAGTTGCAAAGCAGTGAAGCTGGAGAGCACTGAGATAACTAACAAAACCAGAGAAACATACAGGGTAACACAGAGACAGAAAGATAGTTTAATGTTGAGTGAAGAATACTTTGCTCTTGATAAACTGTGAGAAGAGCTGATATAAGAATACCCAGGAAGGAATCAAATCCACCCATTAATCTGAGGTAAAGTAAAAGAAAAAAAATCACAGTAACAAGCAACATCATATTTACAGAAGTTACGGTTTGCAGCTGCAAAAACAGACTCATAAAAGACTTTCTTTATGAGGCTGATAATTTCACAATTTCTCACTAATAAGAACTCTGTTTTCAAACTGCAGAGTCTTTCTTGGAAAGTAGAACTTGCTTTTTGGCCTATTATTTTCTAACAAATAGAAATTTCCTCCTTGGAATAGTTCTCATTAAATCTTAGTTTGTTTTACTGGCTTTTTGGTTTCCATGCTGGGTAACTGCAGTATGAATGAAGGCAAATGAGAAAATGGATTATTTGGATTTGTAAGTTATCTGGTAGTGAATAAAAACCAGTGACAAAATCTGTACCGATCTCACCTACACACATGCTTGAGAGACGAAATAATAGCCAATTTTTCCAAGCTGTCACCAAGAAAGAAGTTATTTTTCACAAGGTAGGAATTGGAAATTTGGCTGGTTTTAAACAGGTCGGAAAAAACTCAGAAAAGAGAAAAAATAAAATTACTAAAGAAACTAAGAGCAAACAATGAGCAGCCATTGGTAGTATATGGCTGCCTAGATGAGTAGTATGAATTTCTGGTTTTCATCTACTAAATCCCTTGTAACTTGCACTCACATACACAAATCACCTAGAAACTGGTTAGTGATGGATACACAAATAACCCAGCCACAAATGTATTCTCACTTCTATTTTTTTTTTCATTGTTCCACTCTGCCTCTTCTGTAGTTTAATTATACTAGGCAAAACCTGTCTCTTTATCCATATAAATCCTCTTCTACTACAGACCTGTGTTTAGTAGTGAGGGGGGCAACAGCAGACTCGTGTCTATCGGGTCTATGAAACTGGTAGTCACAGTCTTTCATCAAGAGATTGCTTTTTCAAGTGCAGCTCAGTCACTACTAAAATGCTGTCAGTGCTGGAGAGATGTGCAAACACTGGATCAGGTATGGTGGGTTTGGCATAGTTTGAATACACAGATGTGTCCCCACTCTGGAAAACCTTCAAATCAATTAGAGTTCGGACTAATTTGTCTGCTTTTCTCTGCTTTAAAGAACTAACGGAATGAACAGTCATTCTTCTCTTCCATAGTCTTTACCCCACTGATGTATGTCTTGGCCCTTTAAAAGGAGATACTTAAAGAACAGATTCAAGGCATTACAGGAGCCTTACACTCTTCTGGAGACAGAAACATTGTACTCTGTCATAATGAAAAAAATAGCTTGTGCTTTCATGTTATTTTGCTGCTTTATCAAATTTCATGCTATATGACCTTTCTCTGCCCTTCAATATTGCACTTTAATAGGGACTAAATTAATTTTTATGGCACCTGAAGGTTGCCCATTCAAGTGAGTTGTGCTAAGCTTCCTAGATTGCACACACTCAGCTCAGAATGGACAAAGCAAATTCAGAAAATACTTTTCCTAAATAACTCATGCAGTTCTGCCATGTCAGCTCTTACTGGCTTTTTAAAGAAAATAGCTGTGCTGCTTACAGAAATGGCTTTCTGCTTTCCTAGAGAGGAAAAGCTAGTCAATAAAGCAGGATAAATAAGGTGTTGAAGAGGCACCAGGTAGTCTGCTATGAACACAGAAAATAATGTTTCTGTTTCTTGTAGTGGTTATTTACAGTGACAGCTGAAAACATTTAGTTTGCATGACGAACAGACTGACACATTACCTTTTGATGCATCCAGGGAGACATAATTAGCTGAGAAGCCCTCAGACGAAATGCTGTGATCAGTCACAAAGTACAACATCATTATGTTGCCACCACTAGTGAGAGATGGTGGAACTGATCTTCCACAGTACCTGCAGAAAAAAGATGACCCAAATTGAATGGCAGTGCTATATGAAGCGTCTGTATTACTGGAACAGGATTCAGCTTTCCTGAGAAGTTCAAAGAGCTACACATATACAAATCTCTCTTTTGGATGCTAAAGATCCCAGCCATATATCCTGTATCATGGGACTAAATAGCACACTACATGTACAAGGGTACAAATCTAACTTGTGTGGTGAAGTCAGAGGAGAAACTGTTCATCAAGTTGTCAAATTCTCATTGAAATTACTCTATGCTGTACCTATAACATATCCTGTTCTTTTGTAGGAGTCGGAGTGGCTGGCCAAAGACTAAGGTTGCAAAACACTCTCCCTTATGAGAGTCATTTGCTCATTTTCCAAAATACTGCCATGTCAGCCAACTACTTTGCAGGCTGTAGCTACAGCTGAATACTGTTCTCAAGTAGTTCAGATGTTCTTGAGCCCTAGGGTGGCAAGAAAACCCTGTGTATATCCCAATTGGCGAAGGGAAAAAAAAAAAAGATTCTTTCCTAAGATAAAATCACATATCAGGAGAAAGTGGAAGCAAAATCCTATGAAATGCAGACTTTGGTTTAGTTTTTGCTGAGATCCACATGAACAATTGTTTAAGTAATCTTTCTTTCATTTATGCAAATGTTTCAAATCACGTCTTCTCCTGGGCACAGATATATTAATGTTTTTGAACTGATTTCCCATAAATCAAAATGTTAATGGAGCTGCACAATGCCAGCTATTGCAACCTGTCCTTAAAAAAGCTGTCCTCTTGATACAAGTTAGTTTCTCCTGGCATAATATTTATCAAATATGCTTCTCATTCGATGGTCAAAGAAAGCAAGCTGCCTTTACTCTCCTAGGCAGATAAATTGTTGCTGTTGTTTCTGTAATGCAGAGAAATTAATCTATACACAAAATTTAAGGAAGCAAATTGGATGTCGAGATCTACAGAACAGTGGTCACTCTACAGTAATTCAGCTCTGTAGGCTAATGGACATACCTTCCTAATTTTTGTGCAGTGCTGTTGTCATATATTTCAAGATAATCCTTTCTGCAACTATAATCAAATGCCAAGTTAAATGAAGTGAATGTCAGGCGGATAAGATAGCCAGGTTGAATGCTGATAATCCAGGTACAGTTAATACCATGTGGGTAGACATCTGGATGACCAGGACTTGTAATGGTTCCTTCTGATCTAGTGAGAGTCTCTCCACATACTGTAGAGATTTAAAACATCAGGTTAAATGATACATTTATTAAAAAATTAGGCACTTAGATTTCATAGTCTTTTCTTCCTCGATGAATACTACACAGTAACTGATTCAGAATTTTTCTCCCATTACATCATCACAAAACTTGATGGCCAATTGTTTTCAGTGTAAAGGAAAATTCTGAAAGTCCAAACACTCTACAATGTGTAGAGAAAACAAAAAAATCCTTACCTGTATCTAATGGCCAGTACTCAGCTCTGAAGCCAAGGTTGGTAAGAGAGGAAGCTCTAAATTTGACATAGAGATTGTTCCATGTAGATTGCACTCTAGACGGTACAACTGCACCACAGTATTTCTCCAAAAGACGCGAGTCTGTGTTGTTGCCGTCTCTGACCTGAAGAACAGTGTATTTAAAATATCCCATACAAATTTCTACTATACTGAAGTTGTAAGCATAGATGAATTCATAAGAATCATATAAAAGCGATTCTTAGTAAGTTAAACCCTATCCTTTCTTCAGCATGGTTTCTACTACAGGCACATACAATGCAACCTTGTGACAGTCAGAGGAACACTCTCCCACCCAAAGCACGTCAGATGGAGAAAAGCTGAGATTTTACACCCTCAACAGTAAGTGGCACATAAACCTTCAAAACCAGGTCTGGCTATTTAAAGATATGTCATACTTGTCTCTGATTATCAAAATGGTCATGTCATCCTTGGAGAACCAAGAAAAGGTTTGGGATCCCATTATGAACCTGGAAAAGCTTTTATAACTGCAGTAAGAAGTGCAGTTCTGCTTTGGTGGAGATGAGTATGAGAATGAACATACAGATAAGAATCTATCTACCATTCATAGTGTATGTGTACATAGTATGTGTGTATTATTCTTTACCTCAATGTAGTCCGAGTCACAAGTGGTTGAATTTCGAATGTCAAAGTCGATAAAGTTAAGAATCACCACTTGGCCACTTGGCTGGGAGATGATCCACTCACAGGTCTTTGGGTGAAGGGACATCCTGGGGTAGTAAGGTGAATGGATAGTGCCTGCTCCAGACAAGGAGCCTCCACAGGCTGCCAAGAGACACCAAGAATCATTGCGATTCGTTGTGAGGAATGATTTCAAGGAATTAATAATGTGACGTCTATCAAACATCACTATGAAGTTAGAAGAAAACCACCCATAAAAACCTGTCTTCTTACTGCATTTACTACAGATCATCCAAGTAGTATTAAGAATGTATTTAAAAGAACATATTGCTACAAGTATAGCACAAGCATGGATATACAGAAGACCAATCTAACCATGCCCATGAAAACTAATGGATTTGACTCATTTGTTTCACAGACACAGATGGATTTGTTGGTGATTTATGGCATCTAGTCATTATTGCCCAGCTGGATTGAGTTGAA